AGGTTCTCCAGGAACAGCTTCGAATGAGAAAGCTTGAGAGGAAGGAAGGGAGCAAAGAGAACTTGGGAACGCGTTCAGAGGAGGACGACGAGGACAATGAAGGCGCTGGGAAGCAAGCCCTCGGAAGAACTTGGAGGAGAGACGGAAAGAACTGGGGCCCTTTAGCCTCGAGAAAAGGAGACTGAAAGAGGAGAGCCCTTTTTGCAAGACCCGAAAAGTCGTCCGACAGAGGAGGGGGCAGGACCTGTTCTTGATCCTCTCAGAGCGCAGGACCTGCAACCATAACGACGAGGACAATGAAGGCGCTGGGAAGCAAGCCCTCGGAAGAACTTGGAGGAGAGACGGAAAGAACTGGGGCCCTTTAGCCTCGAGAAAAGGAGACTGAAAGAGGAGAGCCCTTTTTGCAAGACCCGAAAAGTCGTCCGACAGAGGAGGGGGCAGGACCTGTTCTTGATCCTCTCAGAGCGCAGGACCTGCAACCATATGGGCTCAAGCGACAGGAAGCCAGATTTCGGCGGAATATTTGGAAAAACACCTTAACTGTTAAAGCAGTACAACAACGGAAGCCATGACCTCAGGGGGCAGTGGGGGGGCGCTGGAGGCCTTCAAGAGAACACTGGACACCACCACCCCCCTCTGTCTGATCTGCTTTGATCGGGATTCCTGTCTTGAGCAAAGGTGGGCTGGACTGGATGGCCTCAAAGGGCCCCTTCCAACCCCACGATTCTTGGATTCTATGAAATGGTCCTGCTTTGAATCTGGGCCTCCTGGGGGGGGGGTCATTCTGGTGTCAAGGAGGCCAGTTTCCAGCCCCTGAAGAGCTCAGGAAGGGATTTGCGTTGGCCTCGTGGACCGAACTCGGGGATTTGGGCGCAGAAGAGTCCAAAATGCCAGAACCTCCCTCCACGGGGGGTCTCCGCACGAGAAGAGGGAGGCGCCCTTCCTCTGTTTTAAGGGCTGCTGCCAGCCAGGATCATCTCCGGTCAAAGTGGACCGGCATCACAGCCCATGTGGCGTAGCAGCACAGCGGTTCCCAACCTGGGGGTCACCCAGGTGTTCTTGGACTGCAACTCCCAGACGCCCGCCCCCTCCCGGCACAACAGGTGGCAAAGGCTTCTGGGAGTTGTGCCTCCCTCTGCAAGCCGGCTCTAGAGAAGACCAGCTGGGAGCACCATCTCTCCTGTAGCCTCTCTCAATCTCTCTGGCCTGATTCGCACCCGGGTTTCTCACCCCGGCTGCTGGGCCACAGTGGCCTAGCGCTCACCCCCCCCCCAGAAGGCAAACATTGGGAGAATGGAGCTCTAAGCTTTGATGCTATAACACTATAGGAAGATCTGCCGGGTAGCTACAGGTCAAAGAGCCCACAGCCGAGCCATCTCTCAACGCAGCCACCGCTTGGCATCTTGTGACAGGGAGTTCCACAGTTCCCTCGTCTTTTCCGCCTCCCGATTTTTTAGGAATGATGACTCGCGGGTCCCTTGCAGCAAAAACCCCGGGGGCCCTCCTTGGCTGGGAGAGCAGCGGGTCGGCTTCGGGTGCCCTCCGGCTCCGTCCCGCGCCCCTCGTTCTGGAGGCCTGGGATCCCCCTGCCCACCCTCCCTGGGAAAGGGCAGAGGCGCCCAGATGTGCTCGCCCAGATGTGCTCGCTTTGGACGGCGACTCAGCGACCCAGAGGTCGGAGACGCTCCTTTGGAGGACTACAACGCCCAGAATCCCCAAACAGCGCAGCTTCAGCCCCTCGCCCGCCGCTCTGGGCGCCTGGGGCCGAAACCCAAAATTTGGAAACGTGGCTTTCTCGGACTACAACTCCCAGAATCCCCCTCCTCCTCCCCCTCCCAGTGCATCCTGGGAAATGTAGTCCCTCCTTCCAGCCGCGGAGGGAGTCAGCGGGCGGCCGTCCCTCCGGCCCCTGGACCCCGCCGGGAAGGACGCCGGACCCCGGAGGGCGATGATGTCCAGCCCGCCCGGCCGCCCCGCGGTCTCGATCCGCCCCTGCCGCCCGGAGGATTGCGCGCAGGTCATGCGCCTGATTCGGGTACGGCGGGGGGGGAGAGGAGGGAGCAGAGCGGTTTTTCCCTGGGGGGGGAAGGCATGGCACCTGGTGCACCTGTTGAATTTCGGCCTGCGCTTCTCTTCCTC